CGTTATTGACAAAGAAATAGGGCTCGTTCTATATACAGGAATATCTAAGAGCCTAAGGGGAATACCTTGGGGAAGGAGGTTTAGTCGAGGAGAGTCGCTACCTCGGTTAGGGTCGTCTTTATTTTGCATCAATTCACCCGACAAAAGTGCTTGGGTGTATACGTTGTGGTATATTCTAAAAATCGAGGTGGACGAACCCTGCGACCTCTCTTGCTCGACTGCAGGCTTAGAGCCAATTATTTCGATAGAATCGGAGCTTGAGTATTCTTCTATTTGACGAATGAGAGAGCCAGAAATAGAGCCAGAAATGGAGTCGGACCCAGAATCCATGAGAAAGAGTCGAGAAACGAAGATCAGTATAAAAGTGAAAGGAGGCGATAGAGTGCGTCGGTCTGTGAAGGCTTCTAGCCATAAAGTCGACCTTAGGGGAAATCGATTGGGCCAGAAGGATGGTGAAAAAGAAAAGGCCCGAGCCCAACATGGACTCGTCAGAAGACGAGGGTTGATAGCAAAGAAAAAACAGGAAATACCAAGATCGACAAAGGTCGATGCACGAAGAAGATAAAGTCGACTACGCCTCGCCAAGTCGACTTTCTCATAAACACAATCTTAAAGAAGATAAAGTCGACTACGCCTCGCCAAGTCGACTTTCTCATAAACACAATCTTAAATCGGAAAAAGCACATTTTAAGATCTGACACTAATATACCTAGAATCATTCAAAGATCCTCAAGAACATAAAGAACATACATAGAACTCCAAAATCAAAAACCCATAAAGTGGGCATAAAATCTTTCAGAAATAGAGATTAAGGGAAACTTACACATATTGACTAGAGTAAGAAGTTCCGAAGGCGCCGGAGAAGTAGCCGGAAGGAGGTGCACGCCGAAATCGCTGGATGATTTATTGTCGGAGAAAAGAGAAAGCTCGAGAATCCTTGAGTGCAAAAAGTGTGGGGGGAGGAAGAAGAAGATACTTATAGAAGGAAATACAGAACCCTGGCCGTTGGATTAAAGTAAAAATCAACGGCTAAGATGTGGCACAGAATTCGAAGCGGCAAAGGGAAAAGATGAGGTGGCGTGTCAGGCCCCAATTCAAAAGTTCGAAATTTGAAATAATGATAGTGGAAACGCTCAGAAAAAGTTTTTAAGTAATGAAGTTGAACCACAAGCGCCCTAGTCGAATCGCGTAAATCGTCGACAAGACGATTTGAGAATAAAGACGAGACGACTCGCAACAAAAGAAAAAGAAGGCCTAATTACTAAATTTACTCTTAAGCTCAAAGTCGCTTAGAGTAATTTTTTGGGGGGGAGGGGGACTAGATGATATAGCCCTATTATCATAACCCGGTTCAGGCGTTAGTTACTCGACTCGACAGACGCTGCCAAGAATATCGTCAAGACGATATTTTCCAAAGTCGACATGGCCTGTCAGTCATAAGAAGATCACCACCAACTTAGGGACGATCAAGAGACGACTTTAGGAAGTCGACTTGGTGTAAGTCGACTTACGCGCTAGAAGGCGAATAAGCATTCAGAGAGTCTGGGATATACTAACAGGACCATAAGTCGACTCGACAAGGCTCCGACTCGACTTAGAGTACCTCTGGCGACTCACATTTATCTCCATATCATAGCAAGGCTTCCTGAGCTAGAGAATCTGTATGAGATGAGAAGGAATCTAGGTGCTGACTCAGAGAGTGGGCAGAATGTGAACCGACCAGGGCATTTTGGACACTTCAGGTAAGTCGGCCAGGGCATTTCAGGTATTTCTAGTGAGCATTTCTACCCTTATATAAAGGAGTAGAGGTGACTCCAAACCCTAACTTTGGATCTCTTCATTCATTATTCAGCTGCTGCTCCTACTGAGCAGAGCTCCTCCTCTCCTCTCTCACTGACTTGAGCGTCAGAGGTTCTTCACCGGATAACACTTCCGGTGTTGAGTTCTTGCAGGTATTCGCAGCGGTTCACGAGCGACTTGGAGACGATTCGAACAGACCGGAGCTCATTTCCACCGGTTCACTCCAGATCTAGGAGGAGACCCATCATGCTAGAAGTCACATGATTTCTTTAATAAAGGAATTTGTTTCCATAAAACAACAAAAAATCTAAACTATAAATATAAATTTTTATTATGCACATGTACAATAAAGAAAACTTATACAATTAAAATTCCTCTGAGCATGGATTATATAAATTTTCAAATTCAACATCTCATTAGCAACACAAATTCTTTATTATTGTTTTTTAAAAAGCTAAATTTCACCTATCTAATTATTAATATTATCAACTTATATAATATTTTAGATATTTTAAACATTATTTGGACAATGACTAAGTATATATGGATGATACATGTACATATATGGATGATACATGTACATACATGGAGGTTTAACTTAAATATTTTTATACATGTTTTCTTTACATGATATTTTAGAAAAAAATTTAGGTGCCTTCAAACATGTTTCAAGAATAATATAGAATATTTTAGATACATTTTATATATGTGATATTATATTTTAGATGCTATTAATATATATATATATATATTATATCGTAAAATAAAATAAGATTTATCATATATTTCTTTCCCAAAAATATTCAATACATACAGTAGAAAGTTAATAGAAATATAAATACGATAAAAAGTTAATAGTCTTCAATTTTTGTCTTAATCTAGTTAAATATAAAGTCCAAGTTTATTTGTTAGGGCTTGCATTAATCTCTCGATTTGCATTTGTAAAATTGAATGTGGATATAAATGTGCATTTTGTGTGGATTTGTTATGCGTACAAAATTGCTTTTGAGGTAACAATTATGTTTTAATCTCAGATAGATATAAAATAAATACCATTTTATTGTAAAATTGATAAATCTGCATATAGCATGTAATTGTATGCCTACAGAAATTTTTTACGGTAACTAAAAAATAATAATATTTTTAAATTTTTGTACTCAAATTACTTAAAAAATAATAATAGTTTTGAAATCTTCTATACTCAAATTTTTAGGTACCTTCATAATCATGTCAATATTTATTTTATATATACTATGTAAATTTTCTCTACTTTATAATGTCTTTATTTAAACTTATAATATTATAGATACTTTTATATAATATTTTATTATGTCATATTCAATCTGTATATACATATACATATACACATATACATATACTATTAACTTTAAATATTTTTAAGAATGTTTTTTTTTTAAGGAAAAGTTTAGAAAAAATCTTCCATACAAAGTGAAAGTTAATGTTTTCAGACATGTTTTATTTCCAAAATCATTTGGAAAATTTGTAGGTGATTCCACATATATTAATAATAAATATAGAAAATTTTAGATTTTTTACATATGTTAATATAATATTTTAGGTGATTGTAATATTTTAAACATACAAAATTTATGTTCTCTTGTACACGCTAATTTTAGATTGTTTATAATAAAGTGATATATGGTAAATTATATCACATGTTAACCCCCAATCTTTAATTTGTTCACCCTCATCTTTAATTTACACTATTTTTTTTTCTTGTTCTTTTAAGAAATGATGGTTTCTCACTTGTTTAATTGGGTGATCACTCGAACTCGAGACTTATTTATAATTATTATTCAATATTGTTTACCCGTGCATCGCACGGAATACGCATGATCGAAACAA